AGGAGAGTCTCCCTGAAGGAAGGAGCTAGCCAAGCTGGATGTCAACAAGTTCATGAGTCTGTAATAATGCGAGTCCAGAAATTGACACAATTCCTCCCTTGCAAGTACAGAAATGATAGAATGTTTGCACCGAAAGCATCCATTAGTAATAATAACAGTGATAATAACTAGCATTTATTTAGCACTAACCATGTGTCAGGCTCTGTTCTAAACAGTTTAGATGAATTCCATTCTAGTTCTCACATCATCCCCTGTTGAGCACGTGTTAATTCCTCATAGGGTAAACTAATTTTATCCCCACTTTACAAAGGAGGAAACTGGGGTTCAAAGAGATGAACTATTTTGCCCAGCCTCCCACAGCTGGTATGTAGGGCAGATAGAGACTGAGACACGGAGAGGGTTTGCCCAAAGTTCTGTAGCCTGGAGACCACGGGCATGTCCTGCCTTCACCCAGGGCCCTGTCCCGCGGACAAAGGCTGGACTGCAGGGCTGTGCTTCTCATTGTCTAGATTCTAACTTGGGCATTGGGTAGTTTTTAAAGAATCCCTTTGGTTTTGGAGCAGTGAAGGATCCACCATCAGTGGATCCAGCGGGCATCGTCCAAACACGAATGAACCAGTGAAGCCAGGGTCCCCCTGGGTGGTCCCGCTCCATCTTCTCAAGGCAACTAAGGAAAGTGCTCACAGTCTCACGCTTGGTGCCAGGGACCTCCCCTGCCTAGGGCTAAGCACTTCACAGCAAGCAGGCCCACAATGCAGTGAGATAAGTGTTCTGGGGAGTGGGGAGGGGCCCAGGCATGTACCCGCAGAACCACCCATGCTGACGTGGCATAGAAATGACCAATATTAGAAAATAAAGACGTTCGGGCATTCATCAGGCTCACCCTCCCTGTTCAGGTCTCTGTACAAACATTACCCATCGCCTCCCCCAGAACTCCTGGCTTAGGACTGCAGCCCTGCCCTGACAAGACCACTCTCCTGCTCTATTTTGCTCCATAGCATTTATCGCCATCTGACATGCCATGTATTTTGCCCTCTTTCTTGTTTATTGTCTGTGTTCCGTGAGGGTAAAAGTCCTATGCTTTATTCAGTGCTAGCCTAAAGAAAGCAGCTTCTCTTAGAATGCTTGTGGCGAAAGCATCCATGTGTAATAATAACAGCAACGACGACTAGCATTTATTTAGCGCTAGCGCCAGGCTCTGTTCTGAACAGTTCCAATCAACATATATTAAATGCATTTTTTTAACCTGATTGTCAATTCCATCCAATTGTCATGTTGACTAAAGGTTGCTTTTGGTGAAACTGTCTGCAACTGGCAAAGCTATATGCTCCACTCTTTCCACGTGTCCGGGAATTTCATCTGCAAGGCAGTTTTGTAAGGGGGTAGTGTTTTGTGTTCATTCTGGGTATAAGTGACTTGGACTCAGAGTAGTTGAGTCACTAGCCCAGGATCACCCATGGGTTTGAGCTTGGGTGGCTCAGTCTGTGGGCTTAACCACAACCTGCTCTGCCTGGTCCAGCTGTCTGTGGCATCTGGCTGTCACCTTCTGTCCCTGGGCTCTGTCTCCACAAATTCTGGCCTTCCAGGAAGCCACCACTGTGGAAAACCTCTAATGCCCAGTCACAAGAGTTGTCTATCAATTCCTGGCCATGGGTGCTCTAACCCAAATGGACCCCACCAGTCCCACCTTCAGGGACCAGCCCTGCACAGACTCAGGAGCCAGGGGCCTGCAGTACGGGAGACCCACAGAGGCCCAGCAGCCTACCCCAAGTCACATAGCACTCTCAAGTCTCCTTGAGACAACTTGCTGTTATCTTTGGGTTCTCACTCTGCTGGGGAAGAGGAGGCACATTCCCAGAGCTCCTTTCCAGAATGATGGCTGGGAGATCACTGAGTCTTTTCTTGCTCGGTCCTGCTCTGGGGAGTGTGGTGGAGTAAAGGGATTCTGATTTCCTCAGGCGAGGTCTGGGGGGCACAATGGCCAGTCTGAGTTCTGTTCCAGATGATGGCTGTGGCCTCCCTCCAGCAGCTCCAGGCTGCTCCGTGGCTGGCCCTCTGGCCTCAGCCTTCTCCCTCCCGTGGGCTCCCCAAGCCTGTGGCTAAGGCTGGCCTGCCCAGACCTTGCCCAAGTCCGGGATGCGGGTCTGAGGCGATGCCCAGCCTGAGGTGCAGCTCAGGTACTGCTGACTGAGGTGTCATCTCCTCTGTGCTGGTCTCTTTATAGTCCCCCATCTCCAGCTCATCCTTGCCAGTCAGGCTGTCTCCCACAGGTGGCCAGTGTGACCTGAATACAAATCTAGGCTGGCGATGCCTCAAGACCCTTCCATGGCTCCCCTCTGCCCTTGGCATAAGCCCAAACTCTGGGTGTATCCTGAAAAGCCCTGCACTTCCTGGCCCTGACCACCTTTGGCACCTCAGGGGTCTGTAGCTTTGCCCCCCACAGCCCCTCCACTTCCCTTGGGACCAGATGCTAGCTACCCTCTAAGCCTTAGTCATGGCCTCTGTGGTAAACCTTCCCTGACCCCCTCAAACCTCTTTCCTCATAAATTACCCAGTCTCAGAAGGTCACTGATGAAGTGACCTTCCTTTGTGTCTCCACACTTGCTTGGGCTTCCCCCAGCTCATGTGAGGTTTTAAATGCAGTCTGTCCCCCACCAGACCATGAGCGCCCTGGAAAAGCCACCTTGGCCCTTGTTTGTCTTAATTGTCACCTTATAGCTTGATTTGCAGTTGGTACCACTGTGTTTGACTTTGTTTTTCAAGGCTGGACTGCAGTGGTGCAATCACAGCAGTGTTTTCCCAGCCAGTGGTGTTTGGGGGTGCAGTGGTGTAATCGTGGCAGTGTTTTTCAAGCCAGTAGTATTGTTTTGGGGTACAGTGGTGTGATCACGGCAGTGTTTTCTAGCCAGTGGTGGTGTTTGGGGGTGCAGTGGTGTGATCACAGCAGTGTTTTCCCAGCCAGTGGTGTTTGGGGGTGCAGTGGTGTCATTGTGGCAGTGTTTTTCAAGCCAGTAGTATTGTTTTGGGGTACAGTGGTGTGATCACGGCAGTGTTTTCTAGCCAGTGGTGGTGTTTGGGGGTGCAGTGGTGTGATCACAGCAGTGTTTTCCCAGCCAGTGGTGTTTTGGGGTGCAGTGGTGTAATCGTGGCAGTGTTTTTCAAGCCAGTAGTATTGTTTTGGGGTACAGTGGTGTGATCATGGCAGTGTTTTCAAGCCAGTGGTGGTGTTTGGGGATGCAGTGGTGCGATCACGGCAGTGTTTTCTAGCCAGTGGTGGTGTTTGGGGGTGCAGTGGGGCGATCACGGCAGTGCTTTCTAGCCAGTGGTGGCGTTTGGGGTGCAGTGGGGCGATCACGGCAGTGTTTTCTAGCCAGTGGTGGCGTTTGGGGGTGCAGTGGGGCGATCACGGCAGTGTTTTCTAGCCAGTGGTGGCGTTTGGGGGTGCAGTGGTGCGATCACGGCAGTGTTTTCTAGCCAGTGGTGGCGTTTGGGGGTGCAGTGGTGCGATCACGGCAGTGTTTTCTAGCCAGTGGTGGCGTTTGGGGGTGCAGTGGGGCGATCACGGCAGTGTTTTCTAGCCAGTGGTGGCGTTTGGGGGTGCAGTGGGGCGATCACGGCAGTGTTTTCTAGCCAGTGGTGGCGTTTGGGGGTGCAGTGGGGCGATCACGGCAGTGTTTTCTAGCCAGTGCTGGTGTTTGGGGGTGCAGTGGTGTGATCATGGCTCACTGCAGTCTCAGCCACTTGCTTCCAAGTGATCTTCTGCCTCAGCCCTCTGAGCAGCTGGGACTGTAGGTGTGTGTTACCATGTCCAGTTACTTTTTTATTTTTTAGTAGAGAAAGGGTCTTACTATGTTTCCCAGCTTGGTCCCGAACTCCTGGGCTCAAGCAATCCTCTCACCTCGTCCTTCCAAAGTGTTGGGATTATAGGCATCCAGCCACCAGTTTGTTGAATGAATGAATGAACAAATGAATGAACCATGTGGGCCTCAGTTTCCCTTACTATAAGTGGGAGAGTTACGTTAGCCTCATAGCTCTTTCTATAATGGGCCCTTTCCCTCCTCACCCCAATTCCTCATGTCATACTTGGACTTCTCCATAATCATAGACCTGCCACATCTGATACGGTTTGGCTCTGTGTCCCCACCCAAATCTCATATTGAATTGTAATCTCTAATATTGGGGGAGGGACCTGGTGGGAGGTGATTGGATCTTGGGGGCAGATTTCCCCCTGGGTATTCTTATGATAGTGAGTTCTCATGAGATCTGGTGGTTTGAAAGTGTGTAGCATCTCCCCCTTCATTCTCCCTCTCTCCTGCTCCTCCATGGTAAGACGTGCCTGATTCCCCTTCGCCTTCTGCCATGATTGTAAGTTTCCTGAGGCCTCCCAGCCATGCTTCCTGTACAGCCTGCAGAGCTGAGTCAAACCTCTTTTCCTCATAAATTACCCAGTCTCAGGTGGTTCTTTACACCAGTGCTGAGAATAGATTAATACAGGAATTTACTGGGCACTTATGACAGGAATCAGATATTGCTCACAGCCTTGACCCTCACTAGAACTCAATGGGACAGGAAGCTGTGTCCCCTACTTAATTGACTGAAAACCAGAGAGTGGTCCAGAGAGGGGACAAGACTTGCCCAGAGTCCCAGCACAGATCTGTGGTACAAGAAGCCAGGCCTCCTCATCCCCACCAGCACCAGGACCCATGGTGACACAGAGTGAGTGAGCCCCTTACCTGTCCATCTCCCAGTGCTCCAGGCCAAATCACTTTCCCTCATGCCTCCTTCATGGAGACGCTTGTCATTCAATTTCCCCTGGCCCTACCCAATGGCGTGTAGTAGTTGCTTAATCAAAACTTATATAATACATGAAAGGAGATGGGAGCTTGGGATATTCCAGACCAGAAGGGGACACACACCTCTGCCAAGAGTCCTAGCCTTTCCTGTCTCTAATTCCCCAAGAGAAAGTGACTGACGACCCCAGAGGATAGAACAGACCAGACTTGGAGCCGATGCCTCTCTTTATTCATATACTCCATCCTGAATCCCCCTGCTCCCCTAAATAGCACCCCCAGCCCCTGCCCCTAGCCCAGCTGCAGGTAGAACAGCAGCTGCTGTCTCCATTCAGCAGATGAGCAGATTGAAGCCCAAGAGCGTGGAGCCCAGTCTGAGGTCACACAGCAGTCTCCTGGGTTCCCACTTGGCCTTCAACAGGGAGGGAGGACTTGGCTTGGGCTCCGTACCCCCTCGCTGCAGGGTGGCTGGCTGCGGCCACGTCTCAGGGAGCTGCCAATCTGGTCTCTGAGGGCCTCCAGTCTCTGGGCCAGGTTTGGAACCCCGGCCCCACCTAAGGAGCAGTGAGACTGAAGGCCTGCCCTCCCCGGGGCCCTTCCTCACCCAGGTCCATCTGGGTGCCAATATTCTCTGCAGAAGCCTCAGAGGGTAGGTACCCTCTACCCTTCCCCCACCCCAGCCCCATACACCATGGGCTCCAGCATACATCTGGGCATGCAGCCGGTCCTAAAAAGAGAATTCCAAGTTTGGGAAGTAGAAAGATCTTAGAAACCACCTCTCAACACCCACCCCATTTCAGAGATAGGACTGAGGCCTGCGGAGGGTCGGTTCTATGTCAAGATCACAGAGAACATTAGGACCCCTTCCTCTTTCCCTTCTTCACCTCTCAGCCCTGGTGATGTGCTCGGGGGCCTCACAGGCAGGGGCGGGGCAGAAGGTACCACCTCCTCCTCCGTCACCATCTCCGCCAGGACTCGGCTCTGAGTCCAGTCACTGTGACTCCTGGGCCAGGGTGAGTGGGAGATGGGAGGTGAGCCTTTGAGTTCCCCAGACCACCCCCCTCCAGCCCCAGCACGCCAGGGTGGGACCCACCTCTCTCTTGGGCACTTGGCAGATCCAGGGCTGCATGGGGGTGCCCAGGGTGGGGGCCGGGCAGATGGGGGCCTGCCCCCTGAGGCCTCAGGGCCCAACACCTGTAGGAAAGACCAGAGCCCACACTGGGTGACCTCAGTTCTGCCTGCGTCCCACTTACCTGGTGCCAGCCATGACTCCCGGCCATGCCTACCCCACAGGGTACCAAGAATGTCAGCATGGCATAAAGGGGTGAAGTCTTGGTTGCTGCCTTCTGCATGTAGCAGGTGTTCTTCTAATGTCCTCTCCTGGGACTAGAAGCCTCATGAGAGCAGGAACAGTGCTGGTCTATTTCTAAATCCTCAGAGCCCAGAAGAGGGGCTGGCACAAAGCAAGAAGCTTGGGGAGTTACTGAAGGAGTGAGTGCATGCACGATTCAGTAAATACATAAATGGTAGGTGGGTGAATGAATATGTGAATGATAGAACGAATTTCTAAAAGAGGGCAGGGTGGGGAGGAGGGAAGGTGAGGCTTACAGCTATTTCAAACCCAGGCAGAGGAAGTGGTAAGCCAGCCATTCACTCCATGATCCAGCCTGGAGCCCTGGGATCCCTGGGACTCTGGATTGATGACTTCTAGATCAAGGTCTCCATTTCTCCCAGCCTTCCCTCCCTCCCACCTTGGCCTTTCCTACCTGGGACAGGTGGCGCTCACTTGGCAGGCAGGCCCAGTGGGCCAGGGGTACTTGACACAGTGGGCATACATGGCAGCAGGGGCAGGAGCAGAGGGGTGGCAGTGCCTGCAAAAGTGTGCGTCAGAGGCTTCACTAGGTCCCTACTTGCCACTCCTCCAGGCTGGGCAGTGAGACTCACGTGGCAAATGGGAGCTGGGGCCATCAAGCAGGGACACGATGGGGCCAGGCCAGGGCCTGGCTGGCGATGGTAGCAGGCAGAGAGGAGGCGCCTAGAAAGAACAGTAGGGTCTATGCGGCAGACCCCAACCCTACCGCCAGGCTGGCCTTCAGATCCCCTTCCCAGCAAATATTCCTGGACCCTTTACCAGGTACCAGGTCCCATTCTCATGTTAACTCATTCTCTCTGATCTTTAAAACGAGCCTGTAAAGTAGGCATGACGATGACCCCTGTTTGACAGAAGAGGAACCTCAGGCAGTGAGAAGTTAAATGACTTGCCCCAGGTGATACAGCTAGTAAGTGCCAGAGCTGGAAACTGAACCTAGTTGGTCTGAATCTAGAGGCCAGCCTCAACTATTTCATTCAGCCATGCCTTCTCCCAGCTGCCCCCCATCCAGAGGCCTGGCTCCAAGCTGGTGGCTCTGCTTACCTCTCTAGTTCATGGACCTGCTGGGCCAGGATGCGCTGCTCATTCTGGGCCAGGTCTCGGCTACTCTGCAGCTGGCTCTTTTCTTTCCTGGGAGAAAGCACGAGCCAGGAAGGGGTAGGTGGTGGGACTGGTGGGGGCATCAGTCAGCTCCTCCTCATTACAGCATAGCACCAGCCCAGGAAGCAGGTGGGGACATAGGGGAGCCAGAGACAGGGAGAGGAGGCAGCTTGGCAGAAGCAGCCTAGTAGTGAGGGCTGTGGGCAGCGTCCTTCTGGCTGTGAGCTGGGCCCTACCTGAGCCTCTCATTCTCCAGCATGAACTCCCGTAGTATCCTGTACAGGTTCCGCTGGGCCCAGGCTACCCGGGTGCCACTGAGCCCTGAGGCTGCACGGAAGCAGGAGGTGGTGGATGCACAGGAACCCCAGACCCTATCCCCATCCTAACCTGCCTCCAGGGAGCTCGTACCCTTGCAGTCCAATTGGTCCAGCTGGAACTGCAGGCGACGGTTCTCCTCCTGGAGCTGCTGCATCTCCGTCTCCAAACGCTGGGGATGCTTTGCCACAGAAGACTGTAGGGAAGGAGGCCCAGAGCCACCTTCATTGTTGTACAAGTTGTGCACTGCACAAGGACTTCCGGGTGTGGGAAGTAACTAGGGTCTAACATCCAGCCCATGCTTCATTCATCCGCCTTGCCTCTTGGCACAAGGCTGCAACCACCTGGAGGGGGCACCTTGTCCTAACTGCACTGTCCTGGAGGGCCCCACTCTGAGCTGGACTCAGCTCTAAGTTCAATCCCAAACTCAGTTCTGTCCAAACCCTGGGACACATAATGACTCCAAACAAGACCCCACGTTAGGCCCCAAATCAACTCCCACTTCACCACGATCCCAACCGCGACCCTGGCTAGACCCTGAATCATATCCCAACTTAGACTCTAGCCCTAGACCTGCCCTCACCCTGGCATGACCCTGGCTGGGATCCTGACCTGACCCTACACAACCATGACACCATTTCCAGGATTCCAACCCCAATCCCAACTTTGACCCAGTCCACGACTTCAAGCAAGAGACTCAGGCTCCAGCTACTGCCTGATCCCGTAGCATCTCCACACCTGTCCCTCGGCCTGTGCCTGCTTGTACTCACCTTGGGGGCCTGGGGACGGGTGGTGACCCGCTGAGCTCGGCTTGCATATCGCAGGGTGCTGAGAGTCTCAGGAAGGCACTGGGCTGAGGGGGACACGCAGGCCACCTGGGGGATGCATTCCCCCTGAGTGCTCCTCTCTGGGGGCCCCTTCCTCAAGACCCAACCCTCCCTGCCAGGCTCCGCTTAAGTACCATGAGGGTGACCCCACGCCCTCCCAGTGAGTCCGCCAGCAACTTGGTGAGCTTGCTGTCCCGGAAAGGGATGTGGCTCTGCTTCCTCTGTGGGTCCAGCAGCAGGGAGATGCAGTGACCTGGGAAGGGAGCAAGAGTCGGGAAGGTTACATTGCTTGCCCAGGGCCATCAGGCTGGGACGCTGCACAGCTAGGCTCTCCACCCAGACCTGTGTTGCCCTAAAAACCCATCTTTCCACATGATTTCATCACTCTGTAAGATTGGTCTCCACCACCAGACTGGGGCACTTCCGGGGCAGAGAAGGCCCTGTACACTCTGACCCTCAACGCCCAGCAAAGGGTCTGGTACTCAGGCACTCAGCAGGAAACTTGTAACAAATGGACTGAACACAAAGGGGTTTCGTGGGCATCTCCCACATGTGCCAACTGGACAAGGGACATGCCAAATGTCTCTGATGGTTCATCCTCTGCAGTTGAGTGGTTCTGTTTCCGAAATTAGCATGTAACTTTATACACCCTCAGAGTTTATAGATTCATAATCAGTGTTTTATGAAGGAAAAAGTCAGCAGAGCTGGGGCCAGAATGAGGCCTCTGGTTCCTGGATCACGGCTCTCTTTTTTTTTAATGGGACGGAGTCTCACTTTTGTTGCATAGGCTGGAGTGCAATGGTGCTATCTTGGCTCACTGCAACCTTCCTCTGCCTCCCAAGTTCAAACAATTCTCCTGCCTCAGCCTCCCAAATAGGCTGGGATTACAGGCGCCTGCCACCACACCCAGCTAATTTTTTTTCTTTAGTATTTTTAGTAAAGAAAGGTTTCACCACGTTGGCCAGGCTTGTCTCAAACTCCTGACCGCAGGTGATCTGCCCGCCTCAGCCTCCCAAAGTGCTAGGATTACAGGCGTGAGTCACTGTGCCCGGCCTGGATTGCAGTTCTTTAACCCTCTTCTATGTACTACAACTCCTCTGGTAACCCCCGCTGTGGACAGCTGCGAGCTAGGCACAGAGGAGAGACAGGAAATCACACTGGCGGCCCCCAGGTCTCACCCAGGGCCAGCAGGCTTCGGTTGATGCTGTTGGCCTCCAGCATCAGCTCCCCACGGGATCCCGTGGCTGCTACCTTCTCGCTGCCTGCCAGGTCCACAAAGCACAGCTTCCCACCAACAGGGGGCTCCCCAGGCTCCACAGGAGGCATCTGCTGGGCCTGAGGGATCAGGGCTTCATGCAGACTAGGGAGGGAACGTCCCCATCAAAGCCACAAGGTTGGTTACAGGGCCAACGGTTTTCACTATTACCCCCCATGCATGCCCAAGTTGGCTTGTATGTCCAGACACAGAACCTTGCTGGGTGGCCCTGGGTGAGCACTTTCCCAGGCTGGGGCACTCACAGCTTGGCGGCTGATGTACAGGGTGAGCAGGGCATGGCTTCGGCTGGAGGCCTGGTTCAGGGTGTGTGCTGAGCTCCTTCGACGGCTGAGACCTGGAAGGGAAAGATATTAGGAGCTGGACCTGGTAGGAAGAACAGGTCATCACCAATGAAGAAAAAGGAGCAAAGGAATCCTGGTGGAGGGTCAGTCGCATGCAAACCAAGTGGGTTTTCCTCTGGGAATGAGGTTGGGTCCAGCTCTAGCAGAGATGGGTAGATGGAGGATAGAGAAAACGGAGAGAATGACACTCAGATTTGCATTTTATAAATGCGTCTCCCACTGCTTCGTGAAAGGAGGCGGAGAAACTGAGGCAGTGAGCTCCGCTGAGGTGTGGCACAGTGCTGGGGCCAGAATCCACAGTCCGCAGCTCCAGTGCTCACCAAAGGAGGGATGCCCAATAAAGACTTGATTTTTTAAAAAAGAATGAGGCTGAAAGGGAAGGGCCTTTAGGCTAGGCTACGAGGTGTGACCTTGATCCTGGGAGCCCTGGAAGGGTGGAGGTCTGGAGGCAAAGAGAGATGGGGTTTGCAGCACAGAGGAGAATGGATTGGCAGGGGAGAGCCTTGAGGTGTAGAGACCACCGGAGAGCGAGAATGAGGCCTGGCTGCGGCCGAGGCCCTGAGCTGGAGAGGAGAGGGCCTGAAAGGAGTTTGGAAGGCAGAATCAGCAGGCCTTGATGGCAGTGAGAGGAGTGGGTACCCTTGGATCATGCCTTTGATTTGTAGTTCCCCACCTCCCCCAGGAGTCATTTCTGAAATCACAGCTGCAACCTGGGCCCCAAGTCCACACGCAGTGAACAGTTGAGGAATGGGCACCCCCACCCGCAAAACTCCCCGATGTCAGCACACACCCATTTGCAAAAGTTCCATCAGGGCCTCCAGACTCCCAAATTCCACCACCCGCAGCTGCTCCACGTAGAAGCCCCGAGTTTTGTTCCAGCGAACAGGGAGGGGCCGGGGAGACCCCAGGCTTAGCAAGTCCCGAACCTGGGAGAGGAGGGAGGAGGGAGAGGGAAGGGGATCTCTCTGAGTCCACCAACCCCCAGATCTTACTGACAACAGTCCCTACCGCCCCTTCTGCCCTTTGACCCTGGAAAGAAGCAGTCTGTTCCTCTTGAGCTGTCTTTCTATTCCTCGCATTCCCTTACCTGCTCATTGTAGATCTCCAGATAAGAGGCGCGAAGAGTGACAGGGGCACCCAGGTTCTGCACACGGTCTAACAGCCAGGCGAAGGTCCTCTGCATGATGCCAGCCAGGCTGGGGGGTACTGGCACCCCCTCCCCCTGGGGGCAAAACCAGCTGAGCCATCGTCATCGCCAGAGTAATGACTAGCCTTTGTAGGGCATGTATGGTACTGCGCGCCGGGAAACGCGCCAAGTTCCCACTCAATGGCTCATTTAATTCATAGTCGGTACTGTCACTTCCATTTTACAGATGAGGAAACTGAGGGCTAGGAAGGGGCCAAAGTTGAAGCCCAAATGCTCCAAATTGGGCAAGTCCCTTCTCTCTGGTCCTCAGCGTCCTTGTCTGCAAATAAATGGGTCAGGTTGCATCGTCCCAGCCCCTTCCTTCTGGGGGTCTCCGCCTCCTGCGGCTCCCCGGGGCTTCCAGCCCACCCAGCCCGGCTCCGCGGGGTCACAGCCGGCGCTCGCCCACCTGGGGAGGGGGTCCAGTCAGGGTGTAGGTCTTCCCGGAGCCCGTCTGGCCAAAGGTGAAGACAGTGCAGGAGAAGCTGCGGGCGCAAGGGCGTGGCTGGACCCTGGCGGCGGTCCGGGGTGGGGACTGGGGGTTTGTTGGGGCCCCGCCAGGCCTGGCGCGGAGTGGAGGCGAAACTTCACTCACCCGCGCAACGCCAGCTCGCCCAGGCGCCGCACGCCGCACGCCCGGAACACGTCCTCCTGCGTGCGAGCCCCGTCTAGCACCACACCGAAGCGGAACGCCACTTCGGGACCCCCACCTGGGGGACTCACCTGGAGGGTGGGAGGAGGAGCGGGGCACTCTGGAGGAGGGTGGAGCACCGTGGAGGGGGCGGGGTAACCTGAAGGAGGGAGGGGCACCCTGGAGGAGGGTAGGGCACCGTGGACGGGCGGGGCACCTTGGAGGGGGCGGGGCTCTGTGGAGGGATGGGGCACCGTGGGGGGGCACCCTAAAGGAGGGTAGGGCGCTCGCTGTGGCACTCAGTGGGTGGGTAGGCACCCTGGGTGGGCAGACACTCAGAAAGGGCGGGGCACTAGGAGGGGCTGACGCACCCTGGAGGAGGGCTGGGCATCTTAGAAGGAAGGGGCACTCTGGGGAGGGTGGGGCACCTGGGGCGAAACACTCCGGGGGAGGGCGGGGCCTAGGACAAAGTTGCCTGGGGGAAGGGACCTGGAGTCCCCGGAATTTTTAGTTGTGGAGATAGAGAGAGGGTCTCCTCACCTGCAGAGTCCGGGTCCCTGAGCAGTGCAGCACGCTCTGCTGTCCTCGACGCAGCTCGGCCGCGCTCATGGGACGTACCCTGGGGTCCGACAGAAGGGCACATGGTACATCCTGATGTCTTCATCGATCCCTGCCTCGACCAGGTGCCTCCTAGCCAACCTGTACCCACCTGAGCACCACCTGGATGGGCGTTTCCGGTCCCTCTGGCCCCTGCTCCAGGCTCCGCGCGGGGTCCCTGTGGGCAGCAATGCGAGTTACCATACCTGCACCTAGAGGCCATTCAGGGCTCCCCGAACGAACCTCTCTGAAGATCTGCTTACCCGTCGGGTGACCCGCGTTCCTCCATGTCTTGCTCTGCACAAGGAGTTAGCTCCGCCCGCGTATCTTTTCTTTCCCTCCCCAATACCCTCCCTTCTCCGCAACATTGGGACTGTCCACACACATCTTGCATTCCCACCCCATCCCCCATCCCAGGCAGCCATCCATCCGGAAAGGCTCCGGCCTGCCCAGGGCTAGCTTGTTAAAGATTTACCCTTCCCCACCCCTGCGGTGGAGAAAGTCTCTCCCAAGCTAGGGGACCCCTAGCTAGGGGGTTCTGGAGTCTAAGGATCCCTTGCTCTTGTCCAGTCCTCACAAGAGGGATGCGTGGGACCACCCAGACCGGCCTCCTTTGTGCCCAGATGGGGATAACTAAGCAGATAGGAAGGACACAACCAAGGCCACAGAGCTAGCCCGCACAGGACCAAGCTTTTTCTACTTGCTCCACATACCCCCCACTCCCACCCCCAGCAGCTCAGCTCAGGGTCCACGGAGCAGCACAGGTCAGCTCTTGGGACGACCTGGCTGGATGGAGTCTCTTAGCTAAGCTGAGAACAGGTTTCCAAGCATCTGGTAAAATCCTGGGCACCTCCCTCTCTAATGCCAAAGTTAATCCTAGGCTAGCATGGTTGTTTAACCCTCTCCTGGTCTGGCTTATGAGAGCTGTAGAGACATCTGCAAATGTGCAAGGATGTGGCAATCACTTATTCTGTGCTGGTCTCCATGCTGGACACCAGGGCAGAGGAACTCCATTCAGCCCCTGCCTTTTCCCAGCTCACAGTCTGGCTGGGGAGATGGGTAAGTCCAATCCAGCAGTGTGTAGGGCCTTTAAGAGGAGTACAGAGGCCTGTAGGAACCCGTGTGGGTGGGGAGGAGGTGAGGGTATTCCAGGCAAAGCAAACAGGAGTCAGGATGGCCGGGGGGGGGGGGGGGGGGGGGGGGGCGGCAAGATGATTGTGCATGGAGAGGTAGTTTGAGGCTGGACCCAGCTTATGGTGGGCACATGAAGGAATCTGGACTCACTCAGGGAACCAGGAAGCCACTGAAGGGTTGCAAACAGGGATGTGACACCATCAGATTGGCATTGTTATTATTATTGTCATTCTGGCTGTCCCTGCATGTTCTCTTAATATTTCTGCAAACTCTGCCTCCCAAACACACATTAGGGTGAAAGCCCTAAAAATTACTTCTTCTCAATGTAACACATTTCGTACCACCGCAAATGACAGCCAGCTATCAAATCCACCCTGCTGGAGAATGGGCTGTCTTGGATGCCAGTGAGTTTGAGCTCCCCAGGCGATGGAGATGTGTAAGAAAGAGCCACTTATAGGAGCCCCTGGCAGGGGCCACAGGAAACGTTCTGTAGAACAAAGAACCACTGCCCCCAGCTCTGCCACTAACTTGCCACGAAGCCTTGGCCTCTCGGAACTTGCTTCCTTCCTGTAAAAAGGGATGAATGACCTCCCTCATATTTGAAATGGTTGTTCGGAGATTTCCACGAGAGAGTGTCATTGAAAGTGAAAGTTATAAAGAATTGCCTAAAAACAAAAATAAAAGTTCCCAGATGACCTCTAAGATCCCTTTTTACTCTGAAGTTCTGTAACCTATTATAGTTTTTGAGTCCTTGAGGTGCATAAGACAAAAATTTCTATCCCTGTTTTTCAGAGGAAAAACAGAGCAAAACAGTGGTAGGCAGGAGAGGTTGTCTAAGGAGAAAAGCAACAAATGGCAGAACTGAGAGTTTAAACCCTGAACATCTTGATGCTGTTTGCTGTGGCAAGTTGCTTTTGTCAGGTGTAAACCCAGTAAATGAACAAGGTGCTCCTTTAAAAGCCCTTGAAATTGTTGAAGACTATCAGTCACTTGCATCTTCGTGTGCATTGGATTAATTAGATTGCTGTCCCTTCTCAGACTAGACTGACATGAGCCACACTGAAGGGATTTTTTTTTTTTTTTGAGATGGAGTTTCTCTCTCATCACCCAGCTGGAATGCAGTGGCACAATCCTGACTCACTGTAACATCCACCTTCGGGGTTCAAGTGATTCTACTGCCTCAGCCTTCTGAGTAGCTAGGATTACAGGTGCTCACCACCATGCCCAGCTCATTTTTGTATTTTTAGTATAGATGGGGTTTTGCCATGTTGGCCAGGCTGGTCTCGAACTTGTGACCTTGGGTGATCCACCCACCTCAGCCTCACAAAGTGCTGGGTTTACAGATGTAAGCCACCATGCCCAGCCTTGAAGGGATTTTGATTAAAGTGCAGACAAGGATATGCTGCAAGCTGGTCAGTGGGAACTTGTACACCAGGCTTCCCAACCTGGATCAGAATGTGTACATGATTTGATGTCCTGTGAATCACAAATGCAGGAGCAAAGTCCTTGGTCTGTTCTCTAACAATGAGTGCAAATGTCTGCTACCCTTAAATTGAATAGCCATGAGCACATTTTTATTTAGCCTTCTCTAGTTGTCAGGCAAGTTTCCATGCACTTGAGGGGCATACATTAGTGAACAAAACATAAAAATTCCTGCCCTTGTGGAGCTTACCCTCTAGTGAAGTGGAAAAGGCAGATAATAAAAATAAGCATATAAATAACTTACCTGGCATGTTAAAAGCTGAAAAGTGCTATGGAAATCGTGTCAGTCAGTGCTGGCGATGGGGAACAGGCTGTCGTTTATATAGCATAGTCATGGAATATCTCATTAAGAAGGTGACTCTTGAGGAAAGACTTCAAGGAGGAATGTGAGTCATGCAACTATTTGGGGGAAGATTATCTCAGGCAGAAGAAATGTCCAGTGCAAAGGTCCTGAGGTGGAGCATGACCAATGTGTGTTCAAGGAATGGAAGAAGGCCAGGGTGGTTGGAACACAGCAAGGGGAGAGTGGGAGACAAAAGCCATAGGGATAATAGGAGCTTGGTTATGTGCAACCTTGTAGGTCGCTTTCAGAATGAATATAAAGAAATGTCTAGCACATCTTCAACCGCTGAAAACCAAAGACAAAGAAGAAACCATAAAAGCAGCCCTAGGGAAAAATACATAAGCTTCAAAGTAGCAATAAGAAGACTGACAATTACTTTTGAAGAGAAGCTATGGATGCCAGCAAACAAGAGGCAGCACATCTTTAAAGTGCCAAGATTAAAAAACCACAATCAACCTGGAATTATATGCCCAGCAAAAGTATCCTTCACAAATGTGGGTAAAATAGACTTTTTGAACAAATAGAAGCTGAGAAATTCACCTTCAGTTGATAATCACTACAAGAAATACTACAGGAAACTTTTTAAATGTTGAATGAGATAGAACTAAAGGAAAAAATAAAGAGCACCAGAAAGAATAAATACGGGATGTATATAAAATCATTTTGACTCTTTAAAAGAAAGTAACACTAGTGTTTTGCTGCCATTATAATATATATAGAAGCAAACAGATGTTACACTAGTATAAAGGATAAGAGGAGTTGATGGAGTTAAACCATGGAATTGTAGCGCTGGTTCTTCAATTGTTTGGGAAGTGATAAAAGTAGTAACTCAAGGTAGACTGTAGTAGGTCAGGGATGTATAATGACACCTTTAAGGTCACTATTATCAAAATAAGAGGCAAAACTAAGAAGCTAATAGAGAAAAATGAATCAAAACTACTTGACTGATTCAAAAGAAGACAAAAAAAAAAGAGATATAAAATCACAAAGATGCCAGGTGTGGTGGCTCACGCCTGTAATTCTAGCATTTTGGGAGGCTGAGGCAGCTAGATTGCTTGAGCCCAGGAGTTCAAACCAGCCTGGGCAACATGGCAAAACCTCATTTCTACAAAAAATACGAACATTAGCTGAGCATGATGGCACATGCCTTTAGTCCCAGCTACTTGGGAGACTGAGGGAGGACGATCGCCTGAGCCCAGGTCAAGGCTACAGTGAGCTATGATCATGACACTGCACTCAAGCCTGAGTGACAGAGTAAGACTGCATCTCAAAAAAAAGACAAAAAAAGAAAAAAGTCACAAGGAACAAATAAGGAACAAATAACAAGAGAGAATTAAACTTAATTGTATCAGAAAGTATATTAATTGTACATGGGCTAAACACTTCAAATGAAAGATAGAGATTGTCAGATTGGATGCAAAAAACCAAATGTTTCTATGTTGAAAAATGAAAGTGCACTCCACATTTAAGAAAAGAAATACATTGAAAATGAAAGAATACAAAAAGTTATATCACACAAGCCCTAACCACAAGAAAGCAGTATATCTGTATTAACTTCAGACAAAATGGACTCCAATGCAAGAAATATCAATAGAGACGAGAGAAGCATTTTATTAGATTACGTGATTCAACAGGAAGATACAATAATCTTAAATTGTATTCATCTAATAACAGAACTACCAGAAGGAATAGACAAATTCACCACCATAGATGCAAATCTTAACCCAAGTCTCTCAGTAATTGAAGAACAGGTAAAAATTCAGTAAAAATATAAAAGATTTGAGCAACACTGCTACCCAACTTGATGTAAATGACATATACAAAACACTATACCCAATAATTGCAGAATACACGTTATCTTCAAATGTACATGAAATATTTTCCAAAATAGATATTGGGCTGTAAAGCCAGTGTCAACAATTTCAAGTGATTGAAAATGTTAAATATGTTCTCTGACCATAAAAGAATTAACCTAGAATTAGTAACAGAAAGATAACTAGAAAATCCACCCAACCCAATGCCGAATAATTGGAAACCCAATAAAAACACTTCTAAATGACCTCTGGATCAAGTAATAAATCATGATGATGATTAGAAAATATTTTGGAAATTAGCATGAGGGAAGTAAATCACCTCCAGTTGATAATCACTTCAAGATTACAAGGAGGTGATTTACTTCCCTCATTGTTAATTTTAAAATATTTTCTAATCATCATCATGATTTATTATTTGATCCAGAGGTGATTTATGTAGTTAAGTTACACTGAGAAAAAAATGTATAAGCTCTGCTTATATTGAAAACGAACTTTGGGAGGCCGAGGCAGGTGGATCACAAGGTCAAGAGATCAAGACCATCCTGGTCAACATGGTGAAACCCCATCTCTACTAAAAATACAAAAAATTAGCTGGGCATGGTGGTGTGCACCTGTAATCCCAGCTACTCAGGAGGCTGAGGCAGGAGAATTGCCTGAACCCAGGAGGCGGAGGTTGCGGTAAGCCGAGATCACGCCCTTGCACTCCAGCCTGGGTAACAAGAGTGAAACTCTGTCTCAAAAAAAAAAAAAAAAATTGAAAAATCAGTCCTTGAAGTTCCATCTCAGGAAACCAGAAAAAGAATAGCACATTAAACCCAAACAAAAAGGGAAAGAAATTGTGCAGCTGATAGCAGAGACCGACGAAACCTATAGCTGACACACAGTAGCCAAAATTTGTTTCTTTGATAAGATCGATAACTTGGATAAATGCTTAGCAAACTAATAAAGATAATAAAGAGAAAATTCCAAGTACAAATATCAGAAATAAAAAAGAGACTTTACTCCAGATCATACAGATATTTAAAAAATAATAAGAGGATATGATGAGTTAACTGTATGTCAATAAATCTGAACTTGACCATGTTTGTGAATTCATGAACAAATCACTTAGAAATCTCAATTTCCTAAAATGGATAAGAGAAAAGGGTAGGATATCTTAATAGTTTTATGTCTGTTAAACAAGTTGAATTTGTAATTAAAAACCTTCCCACAAAGGAAACTCTTAGCCTAGAAGATGGCTTCACTGGGGAATCTTCCAAACACTTAAAGTAATGAAATGAATCTTAGACAAAATGTCAGCAAAAGAGCCAGAGGAAGAATTTCCAAATTCATTTTTTAAAAAATGAGGCCAGCCTAACCCTGATATCTGATCCTTACAATGACATAATAGGAGAAGAAAACTGCAGGCCATTATCTCTCATGAGCACAATTGTTAAGATCACAAATAATAATCAGCCAGTCAAACTCAGCAATGTAGAAAATGCGTAATACATGGAGTTAGTCCAGTAACTCAAAAGTTGTTTGAACATTTGTAAGTCAATCAGTGTAATTCAACACATTGCTAGAATAAAGGAGAAAATCGAATGGTCATTTCAATAAATACAGAAAAGACATTTGGTGAAATTTAACACTTGCTCATGATAAAAATAAAAGCTTTCAACAAGCTAGAAATACAATGGAAATTTCTTAATTGAATAAAGGTGTTTTACCAAAAAAGAAGCCCACAGGTAACATCATATTTAATAATAAAAATAAATTCCTCTTCTCTTACCATCATCCTAGAATAGTAAGGCAGGAAAAAGAAACAATGGATATATGTAGCACTGGAAAAAAAGAAGACTGTCATTTTTTACAGTATACATACACAGATATATGTGTGTATAGAAAATTCTTAAGAATCTCCAAAGTCTCTGACACAATGTCAGTATGCTTATAGTATGTATAATACACAACTGGAAACTACAATTTTAACATTTAGAGCAGTGTCAAAAAACATAATGCCTTATAAATATATTTCATAAAAGGCATTTGAAATAAAATGTCGAAAATAGCAAAACATTGCTGATATTTAGGAAGGCCTAAATAAAATGAGAGAATTGCTATGTTTATGAATTAAAAGATACAGCGTTGTGAAGATGTTACTTTTCTGCAAACTGACACCTGTAGATTCAATGCAATCCCAATCAGTATCCCAGCAGGGACTTTTAAAAATGAAAATTGACAAGCTGATTCTAAAATGTATATGAACATGCAAAAGACTACGGCAGCCAAGATAATAATTGCGAAGAGCAAAGTTGGAGGACTTACTACCAGACACCAAGACTTAATGTAAAACAACAATAATAAAGACAGCGTGGTGTTGGTGCCAAGACAGGGAAATGGAACCAAACAGCCTCCAGCGACACATCCACCCATATGCGTCACCTGATTTATGACAAAGGAAGCACTGCCCTCAGCTGGGAGAATGTTGTTCTTTTCAATAAATTGGGCTGGATTAATTGGATGTCCATTTAGGGAAAGAAAAAAAATCCTTGATCTCATACTTTACATCATTCACAATATTCATTTAAAATTAACGATAGATCTACATTTAGAAGAAAATCTGGATGATATCTTCATGACTTGGGAGTGGACAAAGATTTCCGAAACAAGTCTCAAAAAAACACTCACCATAAAAATACTGATGTATTGGACCACGTTGAAATGAAGAACCGTTCATCAGAAGAGAGCAGTTAAGGGAGTAAAAAAGCAAACCATGGACTGGGAAGTTATTTGCAATACATATATCTGACGAAGGACTTCTACCCAGAATATAGACAGAGCTTCTATGAGCCAGTAAGAAAAAGACTAACAACTCAATTTCAAACTGACCAAAAGATTTGAGCTGGCATTTCATAAAAGATGATACCCAAGTGTCTAATAAACATAGGAAAATTGCTCAATGTAATTAGTCACCAGGGAAATGAAATTAAAACCATAATGAGATACAAGTACACACATACCCGAATAAATATAACTAAAAAGACAGGCAATACTGTCAGTGAACCATTTCCAGAAAACCATTTTGCAATATCTGCTAAAGCTAAACGTATCCCTATCCTTTGATCTAGCAATTGCACTTAGGTCTCCGCCTAAAAGAGTGCAGACGTCCAACAAAAGACATATATGAGACTGGGTGCGGTACCTCTCACCTGTAATCCCAGCACTTTGGGAGGCTGAGGCAGGAGGATCGCTTAAGCCCAGGAGTTCAAGACCAGCCTGGGCAACATGGTGAAATGCCACCTCTACAAAAATTAGCTGGGCGAGGAGGCTGAGGTGGGAGGATCGCTTGAGCCCAGAAGTCGAGGCTGCAGTGAGCCGAGATTGTGCCACTGCACTCCAGCCTAGTCAACAGAGTGAGACCCAGTCTAAAAAAAAAAAAAAGGAAAGAAAGAAAGGGAAAAGACTGTTCATAGTAGCTGTTTAGCCACCTCCATCACCACCACCATTTCCACTTCCATCATTGTCATCATTACCAACACTATCACCATAACGCCATCACCACGATCACCAAAATTCAACCATCGCCACCAATACCTACTTAACCGGCAGTCACCATAGTCATTTAGTGACTGCAAACTCCATCCGCAGCATCATTCATCAAATCTCTACCGTGACCACCACCATCCTCACTATTACCACACTTCCATCCTTCGGAATCTGGGCTTATTCACTCCTAGAAACTAAAGCTGCTAAGCTGGGCTCCCAGCAGCTAGAGGCACTCCCATTGACCGTGGTGCTCCGGGTTCCCACAGCAGGGGCTGAGTTCCTCTGTGTCCCCCCCGCTCCTCTTCACCCTGTTTTTTGTCTGCAGACTGCACCCCTTCCTCGGGATCAGTGAGTCTCCGCTTCCCCTGCGGCGACTGAGGATAGGACAGATGGAAGTCTTCCATCTGCCGGGACCTTCAGGGTGTCCTTGGCAGCCGGCCGAGCCCCGCAGGGCGTATTCCCAGCCCTCGCTAGAGGGCAGCAGAGCACCACGCCCCCGCGGCCCGGGGCTCCTCACAAAGGAAGCTTTGTGGAGTGCGGGCCTGCGCTTTGCAGCTCGCTCCTGAGCCGGTGCCCAGCTCTGGAGGGGCTGAGCAGCTGATGCGTGGTGAGAGACGAGCAGGCCCTCAAGATGCACTCTCCGAGGGAGTGAAGAAAGCAGGGCGAGCAATCAGGGGCCGTCCCCCCAACCCCCTGCCCCCTGGTGCATCCCCTTCAATCCACTCTCCTCCAGTTAGCCCGGCCATCCTCTCCTGAGAAAACCCTGCCGTGGATCCCTCGGGCCTCTGAAGCGTCTGAGCTCCCAGCCTGGGACTCGAGGCCGTTTGGGCTCTGGCTTCTGCTGACGCCCCCGGCTGTCGCCTCCACCACCCCTGCCTCCCTCGCTCCAATCCCCAAAGCTTTGCTTCCATCCTCTGCTTGAGCCGGTGGTTCGCTCTCTCTCGGGGCTGGTCTCCTCCGCCGTGGCGTCGCCCTGCAGGCTTTCCCTAGAACGCCTTCCCTGTCACCCACTACCCGCCAGGTCAGGCCGGAGCCCGCCTCCGAGTCCCCACAGCCTGCCCGGCTCCTGCGTTGCAGCGCTGATGACACTGGGCTTCTCTTCCTGGCTGCTGGTTGGCAGGGACTGTGGCCGCTTCCTCCCTGAGGCCTCTGAGCCAGCACGGGGACCTAGCACACACGCGGAGCTCAGCAAACTCGGGTGGAAGGAAGGAAAGGAGCCCGGGAGGCTGGGGAGAGGCCTGCTGCGCGCATCCCTGTGTCCCTCCCCGGCCTCCCTCTCTCTTCCCTCCCTGCCTCTGGGGGATAACAAAAAACACTCAGCTCCATGATGTGAGGATGCATTTAGGGACTCCTTTATCATGGAGATCATCTGCTCCGGTCACAAAGCTGCTCTTAATTGTGCCCAGAAACAGTGACATTCTCTTCGCTTGGGCCAAGCTGGCCTCTCAGACCAAACCGTCCGATGCGAATCTAGAATCCCCAGAGGATGGAGGCCAGGCTCTCCTAGGCCCAGGTGAGCCCCCGTGTCGCCGCCCTCTGCTCCTTCCAGCACCCCAGCAGCACGTTACACAGGAGGGCTTATAGCCATTTTTCAGCTACAGAGACTGAAGTCTTGGTGGGAAGAGACGGAGCCGGTCTGGGGCTCACCCTGCCAGGCAGCGAGGCACAGCACTGCCGCGGAGCTGAGATGAGAAAGAAGGCTGCGAGGAAGGAGGTGCTCCTTGAATCTCATGACAATCATCTGCCACTGCTCCGCTTGTACCCCCTGCAGAGGAAAAGGCAGATGGGTCCAGAGCCTGTTGT